ATATGTTTAAATCATTCTCGATCTAGATTTCATGTATTTACAGTCACGTAGATCTGTGTTAAAGTCACCGACCAGGACAGTCTCACCGTTATATGAATGTCTGTCATAAGCCTTAAAGAGGGTATTCATTTTGTCACTGTATACACTGTCCAAGACATTGGTAGATGGAAGACGTGCACCAATGATGTGGATCGGAGTCTTATCCGTAGTTAGCTGCACACCAATCACATGATCACTCCCCGGGATGTGCAGACTAGAGGTGGAGTAACTATCATTTTCCGTACAAACATAGCGAGTCCTCCTGCTCCTCTGAGTGAGGAGTGATCAGTCTGACACTTAACATACACATCGAAGTCTGTATGTAGATCTGTAAGGAGGGATAGCTGATCCGTGTGTAGCCAATTGTCACTGATAAACATCACATCTGTGCAGTCTAGTTTGGTGTTGATTTCGTCTAGACACGTAGCGGCAACGTTCCAAGTGATAATACGGGAGAGCGTCATTGCCATAAGTAAAATGTTCATGACGTTCATCATGGTCATTATTGTCTGTTATCACCGTACCATTGTTGCTTTGGCACCCACTCACGACAGTTGACGTTTTCGGGCCAGAAACAGTCATCATCTGCTATGACGTCAGCACACTTACTGGAGACAGCTATCCTGATGGTGTAGGTTGGGTTGTATCTGCTGTCACAATGTTTTAGCAGCACAGTGTTCGTGACAGTAACACCGCGATCTGATGCATACTTACAGATAGCATCCTTCACAACGTCAAAAGGTTCGTCAGCACGAACATAACTGAGCACAAAACGCCTGTTCTTACTTCTGTGCACTCCAGTGAATGCACATTTCCAGTGGTTGTTGAAAGTAACTGTTACATCTCTTTTGTCTTGTTTGTTGTCATTACTCTGTCCAGCAGGGTGTGTTGATTGCTGATCACATTGCTTGTCATCATTGCTTGAGTATGTGTCTGTGATTATGCAATCGCTTGTGTTGGGAGAGAGTTGCGTGCTGCTGGGTGTATCTGGATGGCTTGGTGTGGTGTTGTTATATAAAGCTGGCTTTACGGATTGGCTTGGGAGATGATAGCCAGTCTTAACACATTCTGGATACATGAGCTTACTTCGTGTACTCATGCAATCAATTTTTTCCATCAACTTCACGTACATTTTTTGTCGATACGAGTTATGGATTTATCCAATGTATCTTTTATGACTTGGAAATCAATGTATTTTTGTTCAAGCTGTGTCTGTAACTGAACAATTTCTGCCTTTAGTGCTTTCACATGGGCACGATGGCGTTCATTTTCAATCTCGAGACGTCTAGCGTCATCTCTCTTACACTCATATGCGCCAATAAGTTGTAACATGTCAGAGTTGTATTTATCTCGAAAGTCCTGTAGCTCTTGGGTTACATACTGAAAATTCTTCGTCATGTCTTCATGCATATGCATCATTTTAGACAGAACACTACATATTATATCTTTGTCTCTGTTGTTTAAAGTCTCGTTGTCTGCTGCAGCATTGGTACACTTATGTCGAGATAGAACTTCGTTCTGTATTACATGTGCAGGCACACAGCCTTTGACAAACATATACAGCAGATATATATCAGATGCATATTTTGTCGAGACACTCTTAGTTTGTCGTTTTATTCTCTTGATCAAGACACCGTCAGGAAAATCATCACATTGTGTCTTTGCCACGTCATATACAGACTGTCTTTTGAAGTTTAGACCAGATTCATCATTATCAAATTTGTCTATAAGCTTTCTTTCACAAGTTTTTCTGTCACATTCTCCTAATAGTTCATCAAGCTCTTTAATGATATCGTAGTCATGGTCGTTATGATCTTGTGTGTCATATACTTGTGAAGAGTTCTTGTAAATGCAAGGTTTCTTTACATACATTTCAATGTACAAATTCTTTCAAATGAAATTGTTTACTAAGTTGTGACAATTGGTTTTTAGTATTTTATCCATGGTGGTCCAATAATTAAAACACTTAATTAATATCTAAAGTTCATTTCCATTTAAATCCTTATCGGTCAAAATTGTAAACAATGTGGCCCAGTAAATTTCCATTACCCTGTGGCCTTCACCTTCATGTGTGATGTCAAAGCTCACAGGTCACATCATGACCTCTCCAAAGCTCATGCATTTTGGAGCACATGCTTACCGGTGTGTATTGGACCTCCATGCTGCCTGGTTGTCACCCAGCTGACTGTAAGCTGAACTATTTAAAGACACATATGTGAGTACTTTACCCTTTCATTGCTAGGTTGTACTATCTCTAAATTACAATGAAATTGTATATATGCCAAAATGTTAATTGGCTGTGTCAAAAGTGTTAATATATTTCACACAATTATTTGTAAATTTGTAGTTGTTACTTTTGCAATTTCAATGTATTCACATATCATTCGAATGAAACATTGAATGTTATGTGCTATGAAATTTGTACATTTTCTGAATTTCATCGAAAGCCATTGTTTGTTGTAGTTTTCTGAACCTCATCAGCTCATCAGCAACTTTACTCTTCAAGTGAACGCAATAATATTCATCAAGTCCTCAGCAGCAGCCATTTATTATGAACTGTAATTTCTCAAATATCAATACATTAAACCCTGTTGATGCGAGTATCAGTGTTTGTGTTCTGCATTAACAGTTCTGATCACTCATGCTTGAAGTGTGTAAATAGTATATTTACCAGATTGGTTTCCTTAAAATCCAGGAATAGTCCATAAAATTCACACAGCACAAGAGAATGTATCCATTTCTTGAAGTAAGCAAGTGTAACTTCGAATGTTCTCAGTCACTTCAAGATCAGTCAACCGTGACATAAGCCCGAGAGCTCCCACAGAGCACATCTGCTCACCTCGGCGTACCAACCCAAACACAACGGTTACAAAATTCATAATTGCACAGTCGTGAGTGTTTGTGGATGTACATAGTTTGATCTACAATACTTTAACAGAGAAATGAGGGATGGTAACCTAAGAGTAAATAATTATAACATGTCCATTGTACTTTCCATTTTAAAGATATGATAAACTCTTTTAGCAATACCAATCAATAGTTGTACATTATTAGTTTGTAGCATGTTCACAAACTTTATCATACTTGGTCCGGCAATGACATTCTTTGGTAGATTCCTTATACTTAAATATTTTGGACAAATGAGCAAGATATGGTATTCATCTTCAACATCGTTCACACAAAAAGGACACAGGCGATCGTGTAATGGTGTTTTAGGTGTAGTCCATCTACCCTTTTCAATCATCAGTGTATGTGAACTCAATCTGAACCGTGTAAGAGCAATAATTATATCAATATGTACTAGATACTTATCAAAATCTAAACAATCTTTAATTTGCAAATATAATTTAGTTTCACTCAACGAATATAAATCATTTCAGCATTCATCACACACATGACACATGTCAGTAGTCATTAGACACATGACACAGGTCGGCAGTCATCAGACACATGACACATGTCGGTAGTCACATGACACATGTCAGTAGTCATCAGACACATGACACAGGTCGGCAGTCATCAGACACATGACACAGGTCGGCAGTCACCAGACACATGACACATGTCAGTAGTCATCACACACATGACACATGTCAGTAGTCATCATGCGCCAATAGCCCGATAGAGGCCTATACTATATTGAATACACAGTAAACACGCATACAGAACTATTGACATGTTATTTCGGATCACGTATGCGTTGACAAGATGTCAAAATGATGACTACCACAACTCATGTTTGTATATGAAGAGGAGTGAATATCTTGCTCTCGTAGATGTTATACAGTTAAAAATGGGTACTTTGTCGGGTGTTCGCCCACAACCAAACCAAACCGGTTTCCACTGGTGCTGCAGGTACATTCGCGCCGATAATAAGTTGGGAGCATACCTTCTGCTTGACATTCAGGGAAGATATTTTCTCATGTTTTCTCTTGCTTTCTCGAAGATTGTTGATTGCATCAACCAAACTGGTAACTGACCTGATGTCTTAACGTTGAGAGAAAGTCACCATTAAAATAGTTTAATAACATTTAAACATAACATCGGGTTAAACTGTCCAAGTCGGGTGAGGACTGAATGATTCAGCACTCCTTTACAAGTTGATTTCAATAGTTTCAAGTCACACCCTCGATTAACATTTTGAATATAAAGTTCTCTTTATTCAACAAAGTAGGTCGCACGCTCTGGCGAGCACGAGTTTTTTTAAATCCAGGTGCATTCATGTAATTCAGTGTTATATACAATTCAGGGTGACATAACTACCTCGTCATTGCGCGCCTCATTTGAACTATGCTTTATTTTCGCTTCATGAAAGGTTTCATGCAAAATAGCACGACCGCATTAAATGAAACAAGGGCTCATTCACAGTATCATATGAATGAGTTCTCGTGCGTATTAATCACGGATCCGGCAGATCAGCTTGTACTTCCACCAACAATACTACTGACGATAAATATGCATTGTGAACATATCTATCTACATTTATTGAACTTAAATCAGATATTATTATCCAAGCATATTACATTCATTTTCACTTACATGACGTAATGCTCTCTCTCTAAACATGAAAGTGTGCTCAGCTTCACCTTTAGTTATATCCCCAATGTATCTAGCTTCTCCTTAAATATAATAAATATTGACACTCCTTATTTACGTTGTTTGTATATATTTCATGTATTCTTATCATCCTAAATCTATATGCAATGTATCGCTGTATATGATTTATCAATGTTGTACACAAAACCACTGTTTTGTGATTTGTATTCTATATTGTACACAACAGTAAACTGCTTGACTGTAACGGTTTCTCTTTTTCTCATTACGGGTACAATCAAGTTTCCAAACACGGGCCTAAAGCTTGATTATAATAATATGTAACCAATATTCAGGAACAGTGCTCACTTGTACCCAAGTTCTACACTGAGATGCAATGGCTAGTGTAGAATACACACAGTACTCACGTCCGACTGATGGATTCCAGTCAGTGTCATCCGATTGTGTCACAGGTAAGTCCCCACCTGATAATCACTCATGATGCTGATGGTGATGTTTGGATTTTTGTATAACGGATGATGTGTCTGTCCTCAGCCCGAGGTTGGTGCATACAGCGTGTAGCATGTATACTGAGGCGACTGCTACCACTGCGTAGAGGACGCCTAATATTGTAAAGCAACATCCTATTTTCGCTTTCATTTTCAAAGAAGCACAAGGCTTTTCTAGGCCAATGCATTATCCAGTGTTGTGTCGAGTATTTGCTGTCACCAAGACAACAATTATGAAGGGGTTGCCTGGGGTCAGTGTGATGAACCAGAGTTAGGCATTTAGAAAGTACTGGGCCATGAGTCAGGGCAATTGCAATGAACACCGCATTTGTCTGCAGTCAACAGACACATGATACAGGTCTGCAGTCATCAGACACATGACACATGTCTGCAGTCAGCAGACACATAACACATGTCGGCAGTCAAAAGGCAATCAACAAACACATGACACAGGTCGGCAGTCAGCAGACAAATGACACAGGTCGGCAGTCAGCAGACACATGACACAGGTCGGATAGTCAGCAGACACATGATATGACTGCAGTCAGCAGACACATAACACATGTCGGCAGTCAAAAGGCAGTCAACAAACAGATGACACAGATCGGCAGTCAGCAGACACATGACACAATGTCATATCGGCAGACATCAGGCACATTGAACATGTCAGCAATCAAGAGACACATGACACAGGGTCAGGGATATGGAGACCGCATTTGTCGGTAGTCATCAGACACATGACACATGTCAGTAGTCATCAGACACATGACACAGGCCGGCAGTCATCAGACACATGACACAGGCCGGCAGTCATGCGCAACCTACACTATATTGAATACACAGTAAAGATGCATACAGAACTATTGGCATGTTATTTCGGATCACGTATGCGTTGACAAGGTGTCAAACTGATGACTACCACAACTCTTGTTTGTATGTGAAGAGGAGTGAATATCTTGCTCTCGTAGATGTTATACAGTTAAAAATGGGTACGGGTGTTCGCCCACAACCAAACCAAACCGGTTTCCACTGGCGCTGCAGGTACATTCGCGCCGATAATAAGTTGGGAGGATACCTTCTGCTTGACATTCAGGGAAGATATTTTCTCATGTTTTCTCTTGCTTTCTCGAAGATTGTTAATTGCTTCAACCAAACTGGTAACTGACCTGATGTCTTAACGTTGAGAGAAAGTCACCATTAAAATAGTTTGATAACATTTAAACATAACATCGGGTTAAACTGTCCAAGTCGGGTGAGGACTGAATGATTCAGAATATAAAGTTCTCGAGCTCTTTATTCAACAAAGTAGGTCGCACGCTCTGGCGAGCACCGGTTTTTTAAATCCAGGTACATTCATGTAATTCAGTGTTATATACAATTCAGGGTGACATGACCACCTTGTCATTGCGCGCATCATTTGAACTGTGCTTTGTTTTCGCTTCATGAAGGGTTTCATGCAAAATAGCACGAGCACATTAAACGAAACACGGGTTCATTCACCTTTCTGACCTGTGACGTCATGAATTCATTAAGAATTGAATGTCACTTTGTGTGTTTGCACTGAAAAATGAACGATGTCAAAACGCTGACATCGTTCATTTTTCAGTGCAAACACACAAAGTGACATTCAATTCTTATAATTTCTCACTTTGATGTTTACACATACGTTTCTTACCCACTTCTACATGATCATTGTTTACAGTGATGTGTTTTAATACCTGTAAAATGTTGTAATGTCATCTGTTCAAGACCGTATTGTAGCGATGTGTGTATACTTGGCGATTTTTTTACACATGTATCCAAACCCTTGAAGAAATAGTTCTCAAAGTATTCCTGAAAAATAGGTTTGAAACTGCTTTAATAAGCATAACATCAATAAAATTATCAAATAGAAACAAATATAAATAACAATATCATTTTAACAAACTGTCATTGTACCTATAAAACTATGACGGATTCGTTTGACAGCGTAATAATACACTGACCGATTTCGAAGTTGTGCGGCGTGGTGAATAGGAAGCAGATCTCGTTGGTGTATTCTATTTACTTGTGATTGTTTATTGTGAAATTTAATTAGCAGCTTTTAAACAGATCACAGGGCAGAACCCGCAAACCGCGAGAGATAAAACTCTTGTGATAAGGAACAATGCTCGGCAATTGGAAATCCGTTTGGTCGTGAAGAAGCGACGCAAACAAAATTGGGGGGACTTGAAACAGGATCGCTCGCTAAATTGTCATCACCAAATGCAGCAAGATCATTGGGGTTCCTTGAAACCGTAGCGGAAATTTGAAAATTAGGTCGCACTGGCTGGGACTTGTTGTCGGACGCGTTGTCGGTCAGATTTTTTCAAAACTGTGCTCAGTTGGTGCTTTTCGTTACATACAAAAACAAGTATGTGATATGTATAAATTAAAAGGAATGTGAATGCAAATCAAACCTTTCATCCAGGCGAGAAGCAAGTCAATTTTTCGTGTAAGCCCGATAGGTTGCAAAGCTTTATATTTAGATAGTATTGGGGGCTTGTCCAACCTTTCTAGCCAAAATCACGTGTAAGCCCGGGCTTTTTTTATAATGGTAGCAACACCCCTGACAACTTTAATGGACGACAACCTAATAATGACTGAAATGCAATGGTTAGTGTAGAAGACACAGTACTCACGTCCGACTGATGGATTCCAATGAGTGTCATCCGAATGCGTCACAGTCCTCCCACCTGATAATCTCACATGATATAGATGGATTGATGGATTTTCGTGTATCAGATGATGTGTCTGTCCCCAGCCCGAGGGCGGTGCATACAGCGTGAAGCAGGTATACTAGGGCGACTGCTACCACTGCGTAGATGCCGCCTACTTGTACAACCAGGATCTTATTTTCGCTTTCTTTTTCCTGGTCACATGACGAGTATGTAGGTAATTGCGTCACCCGGCATTGTGTTGGTATTGACAGCAGCCACCGCAGAGGGTTGGTAACCGAATACCCGTCTAAATGAAAACTCCTAACAAGCGTTAATGGCGGGTCTTTATGTCACCGCCACAGGCACATGACACGGGTTGGCAGCTAACAATCACATGACACAGGGAGGTGGTCAACAGGCACATGACATATCACACGGGGCGGTGACCAACAGACACATCACAAATGACACAGGGCAGTTACCAACAGACAAATGACATATGACAGAGGCCTGCGGTGGTCAACAGGCACATGACATATGACACAGGGCGGGGGGCAATCGACACATGACATATGACACAGGGCGGGGGTCAATAGACACATGACATATGATACAGGCCGGTGACCAACAGACATATGACACAGGGCGGTGGCCAATAGGCAGATGACACATGACACAGGGCGGTGGCCAACAGGCGCATGACATATGACACAGGGAGGTGGTCAACAGGCACATGACATATGACACAGGGCGATGGTCAGCAGGCACATGACATATGACACAACGCGTTGGCAAACAGGCACATGACATATGACACAGGGCGATGGTCAGCAGGCACATGACACAGGGCGGTGGTCAACAGGCACATGACATATGACACAGGGCGGTGGTCAACAGGCACATGACATATATGACACAGGGCGGTGGCCAACAGGTACATGACATATGACACAGGGCGGTGGTCAACAGGCACATGACATATATCACAGGGCGGTGGCCAACAGGTACATGAGATATGACAGAGGGCGGTGGCCAACAGGCACATGACATATGACACAGGGCGGTGGCCAACAGGCACATGAGATATGACAGAGGGCGGGGGCCAACAGGCACATGACATATGACACAGGGCGGTGGTTAACAGGCACATGACACAGGGCGATGGTCAACAGGCACATGACACATGACACATGGTGATGGTAAGCAGACACATGACACAGTACGGTGGCCATCAGGCACATGACACATAACACAGGGGTGTGGCCAACAGGCACATGAAACATAACACAGGGCGGTGGCCTACAGGCACATGAAACATGACACAGGGCGGTGGTCAACAGGCACATGTCATATGACACAGAACAGTGAACAACAGGCACATGACATATGACACAGAGCGGTGGTCAACAGGCACATTACACAGGTCTGTGGCCAACAGGCACATAACAATGGGCGGTGGTTAACAGGCACATGACACAAGGCGGTGGTCAACAGACACATGGCATATGACACAGGACGGTGGTCAACAGGCACATGACACAGGGCAATGGTCAACAGGCACATGGCATATGACACAGGGCGATGGTCAAGAGGCACATGGCATATGACACAGGGCGGTGGTCAACAGGCACATAACATATGACACAAGGCGGTGGCCAACAGGCACATGACACTTGACACAGGGCGGTGGCCAACAGGCGCATGACACAGGGCGGTGGCCAACAGGCACATGACATATGACACAGGACGGTGGTCAACAGGCACATGACACAGGGCGGTGGTCAACAGGCACATGACATATGACACAGGGCGATGGTCAGCATGCACATGACATATGACACAACGCGTTGGCAAACAGGCACATGACATATGACACAGGGCGATGGTCAGCAGTTACATGACATATGACACAAGGCCGTGGCCAACAGACACATGACATATGACACAGGACGGTGGCCAACAGGCACATGACATATGACACAGAACAGTGAACAACAGGCACATGACATATGACACAAGGCGGTGGTCAACAGACACATGGCATATGACACAGGGCGGTGGTCAACAGGCACATGACACAGGGCGATGGTCAACAGGCACATGGCATATGACACAGGGCGATGGTCAACAGGCACATGGCATATGACACAGAGCGGTGGTCAACAGGCACATAACATATGACACAGGGCGGTGGTCAACAGGCACATGGCATATGAGACAGGGCGATGGTCAACAGGCACATGACATATGACACAGGGCGGTGGTCAACAGGCACATGACATGACACAGGGCGGTGGTCAACAGGCACATGACATGACACAGGGCGGGGGT